CGGGCGGTGCTGCCCCGCGCCTTGGCCCGGAGCCCTGGCGAACGTCCTCCGGGAGCTGGCGGAGAAGCAGCAGCTTTCCGAGGAAACCGTGAGTTGGCTGCAGGCCCAGTTTCCAGGTACTGCTGGGGGCGTTCACTGAGTGCTTCAGGGGCTGCGCTCCCTCGCCCAGGTTTGGTGTGTGTGCTTGATTTTATGGGATCTAACAATCCCTGGTTGTTACACTCCTAGGTCTAACAAGAGGTTTAGCAGTTTATAGGTCCGGAATGCAACAACCAATCCCGCAAAAAATTGAGGTCTCCTTGAAAAATTCAATTACTCGAGGTTGGCTACAGTGCTCAGGTCAGACCTGCAACTGTGGCTGTTAAATCAAACAGTGCCATTCGGCTAATAGGCGACTCAAGAATCATAGAATGGTTAGGGTTGGAAGGGACCTCAAGGATCATCTAGTTCCAACCCCCCTGCCATGGGCAGGGAAACCCTCCACTACCCCGGGTTGCCCAAAGCCTCATCCAAAATGGAGTACATTTAAGTAGCAAAACCTTGTCTTTTGTGCTGTCCAGAAGTGAGCTCTGTCAGCATTAATAGTATAACCTGAAGAAGCCACTTTGAATTACAAAGTCACTCGCAAGTTAATAGCTCCTGCCCTGGTAATTTTTAAGCAGCACTCACATGTAAGACAGTCTGTACTAAAAATTGTGGAATGACATTAGATAGGAAAAGAGAGAAAGGCGTGTTGTAGGTTCGGCCTGGCTCCCTGGCCACTGCTTGTCCCCAGGAAGAGGTGAGGCACATGGTAGTGTTGCTGAGCGGCACGCTTCACACCAGGGTTCAGGTCTGAGTGGTTCCAGAGGCTGCCTTTGTATCCTGCAACGTGTTTATATTATGCATCCTTTTGTTAAGTTATCAGCGATTTACTGCTTCACTAAAGCTGACATCTTTTCTTTTTAAGCAGATTTACCTTGTGAGTTGCACAGCTGGAGGCAGACGGCAGAATACTCACTAGAAATGAGGCAATTTGCTTGTATTCTCCACCTCTACCATATTAAGGCCTATGATTATCTACGGAAGATTTTTCCCCTCCCTCATCCTTACAGCCTAACAAAGCAAGTTTTTATTCATTTATTCTGAATGTATTTCCAGGTACTCATGTAGAAGTAGGTGTAACAGATCTGTCCTGAAAACATTCGGCAGTAATAGTTTTTCCTTGTTTTACTAACAGAAGCAGAGTGGGAAAAAAATGTCAACAAATACTTATATCCCTCATCTCGGAGAGCTGTTATATGTTCATGCATGTGAGTCACAGCATGAAAATAACACGTTTCTCACATTAACAATTTCAGAGCAAGTGTGGAATTTGCTAAGTACTCCCAGGCAAGTAGAGGTGTGAAAAAAGCTACGTTTCAGGGCCTCAGCTGCTGTAGGGTCTATGTGTGTTTTACTGTTCACTGGGAAGGAAGGAAGAATACAAAAGAGCAGAGGTGCTTTGCCACATTGGCACATACTCTTGCCCTGTGATACGCAGTGTAGACTTGTGAGGGATGAGCCAAATAGTGGAAGGAAAGACAAATACAAGTAGGGTCATCTGAAAAGAAGCTGCAGGAGGCAGTGTTAAGGGAGCACCTGCAGTATTCCACCAACAGCCAAAACTGAGATAGGAGGGATGGGCAGGAATCAGTGTCAGCAGAGGAAATCAAAACCAATAGAACTATACATGGAAAACTTTGGGACTGTTTCCCTTTGGGAAAAGGGAAAACTCAAGAAGGGAACATAAGAAAGTGAAGGATGGCATAAAACAGTTAGATTAGAGCTTTGGGTTTTCTCACCTTGCCCGAAAAGGACTCTGGGAAGGTAGTGAATCTTGGCAAGTGTCTGTTTCAAAGTTATGGAAGAGAGATATTTCTATATTACCCAACTCAGTTGTGTAACCTATTGCTAGTAGTTATGTAGGCTCAGAATTTACTACCCCAAGTGCTATGAGACCCATTAACAAGGAGTGAAGTAACAGCACACGAAACAAAGCAGCCTGGTGTTGCTGGCCCTCTGCGTAGCCTGATTTGCACTTCTGTGTTTGGTTTGTTGTTTTTTGTGGGTTTTTTTTTCCTGTTGTTCTCATCTCCTCTACAGTGGACATGCAGGAAGCTGCTTTGTTACTTCCCTCCATGGTCAGTACTTTTGCTTGGCTTCCCTTCACTAGGGTGTGTGAAAAGAAACTCAGACTATGCGTTAAGGCAGGCAGGGCTGCTTGCTTTATGCTCTGTGTCTTAGCCTGCTCTACAGCTCTGGACGTGGCTGACCATGTCCTAAGTGGTAAGAGGTGCTGACTGTTGTTTCAGTTTTCTCAGAATCGCATTTCGTAATCTCATCCTCCTGTTTTTTCCAGTTGGCTGTCTAATGATGAGGCTGCTGCAGGCTTCAGCAACGACATTTTTCTCCGCCTGCAGGAAAAGGTGGAGAGAGGGGAACAGGCCTACTGCTACTGTGCCCTGATGGTACAAGACATGTCCCTGCAGAAGCAGCAGGAGTGGGACCCGCAGACCCGGCGCCTGACAGGCTTTGTTGACTTGGGAGCAGGCGTCATGGATGCTGATGAAGCTCCGCTAGCCTCAGAAGCAATAATCCTCATGGCAGTTGGCATCTCAAGTCCGTGGACAGCTCCACTTGGCTACTTCTTTGTGAACAGAACAACTGGCCACTTACTTGCTCAGCTGCTTCGTCAGACCATCAATAAGCTGAACAACATTGGCATCACAGTGCTGGCTGTGACATCAGGTGCCACCGCTCGTGGTGCTGAGACTGCCAGAGCTCTGGGGATCAGGATAGATCCCGAAAGAATTCAGTGCACTTTCCAGCATCCGCCTGGCTCTGCTCACAGCATCACGTACTTCTTTGACGTTTGCCATGCACTCCAGCTGGTAAGAAATGCTCTGCAGTGCTTCCAGAAGATAGAGTGGCTCGGTGACGCGGCATGGTGGCAGCATGTGGTGGAGCTGGCAGTTTTGCGGGAGCAGAGGGTATTAGAGCCACGTAGTCTCAAGTCAGGTGGAGCTGGGAGAGATGGGAGTTACCACCTGAAGGTCAACCTTGCTACCCAGTTGTTCAGCGAGGGCGTTGCTGATGCACTGGAACACCTCCAGAAGCTGGGCCTGGCCTCATTCCAGAACTGCAGTGGAACTGTAAAGTTTGTGCGTTTGATGAGCCATCTGTGCGACGTGTTTCATGGTAGAGGTCCCTATAGGAGGGGACTGAAGGCTCCTTTGCTAGCTGGAAATTACACCAAAATAAGCCACCTCTTTAATGAGGTTAAGAGCTTCTTCATCACCTTAACGGACTCGATGGGGAGATACGTTATTAAGAGCAAACGCAAATTAGGATTTCTGAGTTTCTTGCTCAATGCCGAAAGCCTCAAGTGGCTTTACACCAACTATGTGTGTCCAGAAGGCACTCCTTCCCACCACCTCCTGACCTATGCCTTCAGCCTCGACCCACTGGAGCTGTTTCTCAGGGCCCTCCAGCAAGCCTGTGGCACCAGCGGGAGCCCCACCTGCACTGTGTTCCAGGCCACTTACCACAAACTGCTGGCCAGCTGCAGCCTGCTGCCAGGCTCACCACACAGCAGTGGCTCAGGCAATACGAGCTCCTTGGACATATCCCTGTCTCCTAGGAGAGATCTGGCCCTTGGCAGCATTCGTGCCCAGTATAACCCAGCTTGTGGGAGGGTACTGGCAACAGAGTACCCCTACTGTGCAGGCCTTCTTTTGCGTGGCTCTGCATTGAGTGACGCACTGACAGACCTATCGCTGCATGCACAGAGCATCACCTGCACCGCGGGCGTTGTTGCTGAGCAGCTAGCCTCTGACTTGCAGTGTGAGGCTTGTCTTGCTTCCCTCTTTGAGTCAGATGAGAGTAGGCTACGATGCAGGTCGGTGCTCTATGTAAAAAAGTTAGGTGGAGTGAGTCTGCCCTCAGCAAGCGTGCATCACATAACCACCATTTCGGAACAAGTCATAAACCGGTACGGCAAAGTAGGAGTCGGCAACAAAAACATCAAGCTGTGGCATTTGTTTCTAGAACAGAAAGTCTTCCAGGAACTTCTAGGAGAAAGTCCCCTCTTTCCCACCCTCACAGACCATTTATTTGATGGGGAGTTGTGCATCAACAATCACTACACAATCTTAGTAAAGGAAATAACACGCTGTTACTTAAACATCAGAACAAACCATACCAAACACCTGAACTTGAAATACCCTTGTGGAAGGCACAGGTTGAAGAGACTGAAGGGAAAACACTTGTTTCCATCACCACTGGGCAGCTGTCAGTCAACCCAAACCCGCAAGGGGTTGTGAGTACTCAGTGCTGTTCCAAGGATGGCTGTCCCCTGCTGAGGCTCAGGGATGGCCAGATCTAGGCAACACATGCAAGAAAATGATGTGGCGTCTTCCCATGGTTTGGTTGGCAAAACTGGTGTTGATAAGCAATGATTTCATAGATTTCATAGATTTTCTAGGTTGGAAAAGACCTTAGAGATCATCCAGTCCAACCGTCCCTAATCCCCATTAAACCATATCCCTAAGTAGTTCATCCACCCTTTTCCTAAACACATCCAGGGATGGGGACTCAACCACCTCCCTGGGCAGCCTATTCCAGTGGCTGACAACCCTTTCAGAGAAGAAATTCTTTCTAACATCCAACCTGAATCTCCCCTGACTAAGCTTATACCCATTTCCTCTTGTTCTATCACTCATCACTAATGTAAAGAGCCCTTCCCCCACCTCCCCACCATCTTTTCTCAAGTATTTGTAGACCGTAATCAGGTCCCCCCTCAGCCTCCTCTTCTCCAGGCTAAACAGCCCCAACTCCCTCAGCCGCTCCCCATAAGTTTTATTTTCCAGCCCCTTGACCGGTTTAGTCGCCCTTCTCTGGACCCACTCCAGGATGATGTGTTGGGCCACTGCAAACCATCTGATCAGAGTTTGGCTGAGCAAAGCAAGGAAGTTCATCTGATCTTGTGTTCCATCTAGCAATCTTGCAAAGCAGCCACGTATTTCATGAGACTCGTGGCCGGTCAGGATGAGCAATGGTTGCGCAAGATGCTTGGGAAAGTGGTAGGGGACACCACAGCATCCCCTGGAGGTGCTGGGTGGCTTAGTGCTGTGAGTGTTCTTGCCAGGAGAAAATTGATGCATCTTCCACCTGGTTGGGGGATCATGTGTGCTGGCACTTTGATTTCCCCAAAGCAGATCTGCTTTGAAAAAGCTGAAAGCAAGAAAGCTTGCAGAGCTTTTTACTTGAAAATAAAAGACATGAAAAGAAAACAGTACTCAAGTTGTACACAGGCTCTGATCTCCACTCCTGCATGTCTCATCCAACAGCTAAAGCAGCTGTTTTAAGTCTAGATCCCCTGGAGGGGAGACTACACTATCAAACTGCACCCCTAAAGCTCCATGTTTTACGAGTGAGGTAGTGGATACTAAGCAGAGGGGCTGCTGTCCATGAGGGTCAGAGGGCAGCACTGAGGCTTTGACCAGGCTGTTGTGCCCAGCAGCACCCAGGGGAACCGACACTCCTCTCTGGCCAGGAGCCCCAGGCACCAGCACACGTGTGCTGCAGCAGGGCAAGCGTTTTAGGTCCCATGACATGGCCCCCATCCTCCCGGAGCTGGCGCGTGTCCTGCAGCACAAGGCAATCTCCTTCTCCGATGTTCTTTCCACTGATTAGTTGAATCGTAAATTTGATGCCACCAAGCAGGACAGGCTTCTTCAGTCAGTTCACTTCCCTGGCAAGGAAGCTGCCTCGATCTGCAGTGCTTTACCTGGAACAGTGAAGTTTGGCAAAACTGCTGCTAAATGGCTTCCCTTTGCCATACAAAACAGCAGTTGCATCCATAGAGATGGAAGGCACCTATTTCCCACAAAAGTGGCTGTCCAGCTACTTTGGAGCTGCATATTGGAGATGGGACGAAAAACGGTCATCCACCATGTCCCAGGGCAAGAATAATAAATATTCCAGGTGCCATTCTGCCTACCAGTGACTTGCCAAAACTGTCCCTGGTCGGTTTGGATCGTTCTCCTCATAGTCCTACTCACTCATCATGGGAGCTGTCGTGGTTCAGCCCAGTTGGTAGCTGAGCCACCACTCAGCCACTCACTCACTCTTCCCCTCGGTGAGGTGGAGAGGAGAAAAATGTAACAAAAGGACTGAGGGTTGAGATAAGAACAGGGAGGGAGCACCCACCGACCATGGTCCCGGGCAAAACAGACTCGGCCTAGGGACAAAATCAATTCAACTTATTAATGGTTACTTGACAGGATAAAGAGAAACAAAGCCAGATCTTAAAAACAACATCTTCCCCCCACCCTTTCTTTCTTCCCTGCTCTACCTCCTCCTCCAGCAGTGCAGGGGAACAATGGGAAATGGGGGAGTGCAGGTCAGTTCATCACACGTTGTTTCTGCCGCTCCTTTCTTAAAGGAGGATGACTCCTTACACTCTTTTCCCCTGCTCCAATGGATCCCCTCCTCACGGGACAGTCCACAGACTTTTCCAATGTGAGTCCTTCCCACAGGATGCAATCCTTCCCCATCAGATTGCTCTGGTGTGGGCTTTTCCCACAAAGTCACATCTTCTTAGGGAGCTGCCACTCGCTCTGGTGTGGGAAAGTTCCATGAATTTCAGATGCGTCTCTACTTTGTCATGAGTCTCCAGCAGACTACAGGGGGTTGGAACTAGATAATCTTTAAGGTCCTTTCCAACCCAAACCATTCTATGATTCTATGATTTATGTGTTCTGTGCTGAAAGTAGCAACCCAAAACCCGACTTTTTTCCAGTCCAATTACCTGTGCAAAAACACATGTTGAAGCAGTCACTGCCATGAAGCCATTCCAGCTACACGAGACTCTGCAGGAAACTATTTCCCTCCCATATATATCCAATTTTTAGGACAACTGGCAAAATAGTGGAATCTCAGTGGTAGATCGGTTGCACTCAAATAATGTTGTAACATCTGCATTGCCTAAACCTCCAGCCCCTATATAAGCCGAGCTGTAGGGAATAGGAACTTCCTTGCTGTGCTTTTTTCTTGCTGGACATAATCCTGCTGTCACTTGCTGTTTACAGCTGAGGGAGCTCGTCTTGCTCGATTCATACGGAGCCTTCTCCCAAATGGGAAGCTTGTTTGACGATGCGCATGAGCTCCTGGCTGCCGAGGTGAAGCTTTGCACATGGCAGGCATGCTGTGCCATCCCCATCCCTGAACTTCTCATGGTTTTCGTGCAGTTGCTGCCAACCAGTGACCTGAGCCCAGAGACTGCCATGGAGATAGGTTGATGCTGGGCTCCGTGCATTCCCGTGGCTGACCTGCCAGTACCCATGACCGGTTCACACATCCTTTTGTAATTCACTGAAATATTGATGGCAGAGGTTTTCAAGAGATGTTGAGGAAGTTTTTGGCTTGGTAGGATGATGTCTGAGCAAAAGCACATTATTAGAAAAAAAGTGTGGCAGTTGTGACAGCCCCTGCTGTCTTCAAGGGTGCTGCAGAATGGACTTGCATGTCTTTCTGCTCGGTCTGAGCCTAACTCTTAACCAGCCAGCGCACATGAAAAAACTGTGCTTTCTCATTAAAGAATTTAAAAGAAAATAGAAATTATCATGTAGGCCTAACTACCCAGTGCTGGCTTGGTTGACACATTTTGGCCCTTTATGAATGACGTCACAATGCGCCACAAATTGCTACGTGTGACAGTACGCCAATAACCAAGGGTTTTCCTCTGGTAGGATTCGATTTCATACTGAAAACCCAAGCCAGTACTTGAATCCGAAGCAGGCCTAGTGTTAAGAGATTTATTTTGATACTTAAGTGAAAATCTTCTCTATATATTTGTTAGTGCTTACGGAAAGGAGTGAAAAAAAATCTTATTTACAGAATAGTATAAATGTTTATTTTTCTTTGTGATTTATCTGACTGTTGTATTTGTACAATATAGAAAAGTGTATTCTTTGAATAGATCTAGTAAATATAAATTTAATTTTTCTACTTTCAGATGTAAACAGAACTAGAAAATCAACCTTTGCCCCATTCCAAATTATTTTTATGTAACTGGATGAACCTGACTGTAAATCTTGTCCAGCAGTTTGATGCAAATGGCTAAGGAAGTACAAAAACCAATTAACACATTCTACACCAGGGAGAGAGGAATCCAAGCTTAATATTTGAGAAAGCTTGTTCAAAACAAAATAGAAGAACTAAGAGCATTTGATTGCACCTTTAAAGTCTTTACAAGCAAAATACTCTCAAGCAATGCCATCATACATAATTACAACTGTAATCTAAATTTCACAAGTGTTTTTGCACACTGTATATAAATACACATCACAAAAGGTGCAATTTGGAGTAAGACATGGAATATATACAAAAATTAACATAGACTGAAGTCTAAACAAAAGAAGGCATATTGCAATCTGTTTGAAAAATAACGTAAGTAGGTATTACTTTATTCACTTACACTAATTTACATTTATACAAATCTTACTGGACATACTATATTAGGTCACTATAAGTAAACTGGATATCTGCACTATCTACATGTAAAGTTACTGCACTGATTGTTTAGTAAATCCAAGTCCTAATTATGAAAAAAATGGCATTTACTTACATGAGAGGTGGATTCCCTTTTCAGAGATTTGCACAAATATACTTGCTATTTATGCTCAGGGAGATGTTAAGAGCAGACAGGGCCCTTGAGACAGTGACTGGCAGGTCAAACCTTGCCTGCGATGGCCACTCAACAGGATGCCACTGCTGCTGGCTGCCTCCCAGACCCTTCACGCCCCCAAGCCATTTTGAGAAGGCACCAGAGAAGGGTCAAGGAGAAAGAGCCTTCTGCTCAGTGCACAGGACCATGGGGTGAAGACAGGAGTGGAAGCATCCTCCCATCCTATTGCCATCACGCATGTAGGCACTTAGCTCTGCTGCTGGTTTGCCTAGCCCCCACCTTTCCCCAGCCTGGCCCTGCTAGAAAACTTGAAGAGCTCTGCTGCATTTCTCTGTATTTACAGTTTTACACAAGGCATACAAAATCTCTTTTGGAAAAAACTAGCTGTTTCGGGCTGCAGTGAGACAGATAATAAAAATGCCTGTGATTAAACATGGTTCTTGATGTGCATGGTTGGTAAGTAACATACCAGGTTAATTTTGCAAACATGTTCCACTATAAAAAATGCGATCTGAGATTGCCTGTAACAAATACTGTAGAAAATCCCCTGCCCTAATCTATACATAGCTATAGTTCATTCACCCTGCCCTCTTGCTTTGTGTAGAAGGATTCGCGTCTGTTTTGGTAGCAATCCTGATTCTGTACTAGCATCCTCTCTGATCATGGCTCTCGCAGTCATTCTAAATAGCACTAAAAAAACCCACCTTACGCCAAGTAAATTGCCAACATAGAGAAGCAGCATCCTGAAGACCCACAAAACGAGGCTGAACATGATCCCTACCTGCATTTGCAAGTTGATTCAGATGCAGATTGTCTTGAGTCTTCATTAAGACAACTGTGGTTTCATTGTCTCCTGTGACCTCAGCTTCTCAGACTTAAAACACTTTTCCAAGGTTACAGCTCCATCCTAGAAAACACGATGGACTGCACAGCCCTACCTCCAGTGAGGGATTAGGCTACTGCAGACTCTGAAAAGCCAAGCTTCACCTAAGCAACAGCATCTGCTGCACACGCAGGGAACACTGTACACTGAGCAGACAGTCCAGCATTGTGGCATGGCTGCTGTCTCTCACTTCTGAGAGCAGGCCACTGTCTTAGCCTTGAAGTTCCATCTTAAGAAACGTCTGAACTCTCAGCCACATTCCTATCAAAAAATTCTGATTAATTCCATTCTCCTCAACTCCTTGAGCCCCTCTCTCCAGCGAGATTCTCCACCACTTGCCCAATGCTAAACCTGCAAGCGACGCCTCTGTATTATTGCCTGCGTATTTCACAGTGCTCCATGCGCTAAAGGAACATGCTATGCAAAGTCCTGAATACAAGTACTACCTTCCATTTAGATGTGCTTTTTTTGTTGTGGGTTTTTTTTTTTTTTTTTTTTTTACACACTTCCCTTCAGAACTATCTTGGATACACCGATATGTCCTTATTATGGACCTATCACCGAAAGTGTCACCTGGTTGTTGGCATCACCTGTGTTTTCCTGTACGCACGAAGTGATGCAACTCCATACGCTGTAAATAATATAATAATTTATATATGCCCTTCAGACAATTATTCTGGGGGAAAGGGGAGAATACATGTAGTTTTTAAGAAACCCACGGTAAAAGCTGTACATCAGGAAGAATTGATCTTTAGGCATTGTCTTAGGTAGAAGAGGATTTAGCTAAGATTTAAAAGGCTCTACATCTCGTTATAAAAGATTTTCTTGTTTCAATTTTATGCAGGTCAATTTACAACAAGCACCAAATTAACAAATATTATTAAATGTTCTATACCAAACCAAAGTGTCCCTGTGCCTTAAGTGTTCTGTTCAGTCCACTTTGTTGTGGCGCATGTGCATGAGTCAGCAGTTCATGGCACAAGGGTCACTTTTGGACTTCCCTGCAGAGTTAATAACTCTCATCAAACAGCGTCCGAACTCCTCCAGGATCATGCGCTCTGCTGCAGCTTTTGACTTGCCCATCTTTTCCGCTTGCTCTGCCTGTGCAAGAAGGCATTCGCAGGTTGCATCAGCTACCTCCTTGGTTACGAACGTGAAGGGCAGCCTGAAACAAAGAAAGATCCACTCACTCTCAGTAGAAACACACAAGGCATCTAACTCCAGGGCGGGCAACATTTTAGTACAAGGACTGATGAGATTTCATCTGTCCCATTGTTTCCAGGAGCCTTTAAACAACCAACAGGGAGTGAATAAGCCAGTTACGGTCAAATGAACTGGTGGAGCGTTGTGCTTTGGTGCCTGCCTCCACTGATGTACATTTTGAAACAGACTCTGAAATGCCCAGGTGCATAGAACAATTCTCCAGCTTTTACTGTAACGACAGCTCAAAGATTACATCATCTCAGTAAATGGGACGCTTGTCCTTCATGCTTTCTGTGAGCCAACGGGCAACCATAAGAAGGTAATGCCTAGTTATGTGCTCGAACACAGCTAATCTTGGCATACCCTAGGTTTCACAGAAGGCATGGCTGCATGAGCAAAAAACTCCATTCATCTGAGTGCTCCTGCTTCTACAGCTTACACAGTTAACATTAGAAGATGACAGAGACATACATCAGAAAAACCACGTTAGAAGCAACTGAAACAGGGTCCTGCATTAACTTACTTCCCGCCACCACTGCTGAGTGCTGGTGTTGGCCTTGTCAGCAGATCTGAGATCTGGGAAGATAACTTGGTCTTTGCAGCGGTCTGCTGCTGGACCCTAACTTCTGCAGCATCTGCTAAATGCATCAACGTCTTTCGCTCTGGGCTTTCTTCAAAATTTTTACAGCCAATGCATTTGCATATGGAAGAACACATGATTTTTGCCTGAAAAATAAACAAAACATGAGAAAGCTGTTGCAACCTTGACTCCCTTTATGACAAGCCACAACAAAAAGGAGATCTTGTTTTAATCTCTTAACAATTAGCCACTAGAAGAAACCCCCAAGTAGTAGTTTTCTCTCTCAATTCCCACCTCAAACTGAGATGCCTTCCCAGAATGTATACTTGAATCAAATGCAAATCAATGGTTTCCTACTGATTTCTTTCTTCACCAATCTACTGTTTCCAGTGGAATTTAGGTGGTTGAGCTATGACAGAGGTCAGTTTGCCACTGTCTCTACATCCACAGACTGATCAGTTAGCTGATGCAACAACTTTTGCTTTTGTCTTCCACAGACATGTTCTACCCCAGAGGGTCTGTGGGATGCTGCTTCATCCTAGGGACTTGGTGCAGTAGATTTCTTTAGGAAATACTGCTCTTCAGTACAGGATAAATCCAAGCCTAAGCTCAAAGTTGTTACACAGTTTGAAATAAAACTTATACAACAGAAGTGATCAATACATGGCTTTCTACATGCGAACTGCTTGAAGAAGAGATAACATTATAGCAATAGAATAGAAGGGAAAACATTATAGCAATACAAAGAAGAGAAAATCAGAGAAGTCGCAGAACTAAAAGGAAAAAGCCAGTATCTTTAAGATGAGATAATGCTTCGTACCTCATAACATTCGCAGTAGTTTTTGAGACATCCTGAGCGTTTACAGTTACACCCTTTGCTGTGTCTCCGATCCGATTCTCCTTCCTTTCCTTTCCCTATTTTGGGCTTGAAGGCTTCAGGGTTTCTGTCAAGGCAGGCCTGTCAATGCAGACCCAAAGGGTCAGTCACTGCACGTGGGGAGCTGAATTTAGAGGTGCAATAAAATAACTTAAGCCTTGCACATGTGGGAGGAGATCAGGGCATTACACACCCACTCCGCCTCGTGCCATAGCTTCAGCAGACACAAGCTGAACAGCTTTCACCCTGGGGGCAGGGGAAGAGGCCTCTCACCTTTATTGCTTTTTGCCTATCATTTTCATGGTCCAGGTTGTTGTAACAATTTGTACAGTTGCAGTTATTGCAGAATTCACCGTTGGCAAAGCAATCACAGTACCTGAAACAGAAGTTGCAGAAGGCGTTTGTAAACGTGACCGTTACATTGGTGTTAGTACTGATGGCAATAACTGAAGTTGCTAGTCTGGGATATGCATAAGGTTAAGGGTCACTCTGTGCTCCATTCCACGTGTACCAGTGGTTTTAGCCTCATTGCAAGGCCTAAATCCTCTAGCGCAGGTCTAGTTGCTGTCTAAAGACACAAGTATAGCTCAAAGGTGTCTGTCTGAGCTGCTGTTCACATAGCACAGGTCCCCATAGCAGCAAGAGAAGCTAATTAGACTTTTTTTCTGTGGCAACTCCTGCGTGGCTGACTCACATACCCTGACCAGTTCAAGTTAGCCTTCAGGAGCTCTCACACAGCTGAAACAAAAGGCAAGCCGTTGGAGTGCTAATCAACAGGTAAACTAACATAGCAACGAGCCATTTTTTGTCGGTTTTGCTCATACGCTGTTTGCAGCTGTGAACTGAGACAGAGTTTGCCAAAGCAGGGATGGAAGAATAGAAAAGGAATAACAAGTGGTACATCTCATCGGCTTTGAGGTGCAGGTAATTAGGGGAAGGATCTGAATGAGGATAAAGCTGTAGTTATCAGAGACTTTTTAAAGGGACGAGTATGTGTCTCAAAGCAACAAAACATCGACAGGGAAAGCCGATGACATTACCATGCCTCTTATGTACCTCTGCTACCTCCCATCAAAAACAAGATCTCAGCATCCCACAGATCTGATACATGGAAGCATCACATTCCTCCCCAGCTCAAGCATGGCTTTGAGCCATGACAAATTCTGGCACATTTCAATGCTTCCAGCACCACCTCCAGCTATAGCTGATGGAAACTGCTGATCCTCTTCAGTTGCTTTTCAAATCCTGCTGGGAGTGTATGTTCGTTTTTAAGGGCCTAAACCTAAACTGGCTTCCTGTGGCATGCCAAGGGTAACACTACAAGAACCAGATCAGGGTTGCCCTGGAGTTCACTACAACCCTTCGTCTGGTTGAACTGCATTTTGGTGATATTTAGCATCCTGAACGGTTCCAGGGACAAGCTACATCAAAAGCTTTTAAAACCTGTAATAGCTCTCCTTTCTGTCTTGTTTAAGATTCAGCAGTGGAATGGTCCTGGTTTCCAAAATAAACAGCATCAGCACCAACCCAGAGCACCAATGAGAAAATAACTTCTCCAAGTTCTCTTCTTTGTAGAACAGGCTACGTGCCTACCTTCAACATTCATTTGGGAAAAAGCAACTCCCTTTCCAGACAGGAAAACGCGTTACTAGTGAGAAAACACCTCTGCCAGAGTGAATTAACTATTTGCTCTGCATCAATGCCTAGCCACTTAAAGACATAATTACTGTAATTTACAAGAAAAGTTTGTTTACGAACAGCATTCTCAAGGTGCAAAGTATCACCAGTGATGCCACTATTCTCCCAGAATTTATAGATATTCAGGCACCAAAGACTAAAATAAGAGGAAAATCCTAAGCATCTAACATACATTTGGCACTATGAAGTCAGTCATGTATGCTGTAAGACATCGGAAAATAACAGCTACACATCTTCCCATTTATCCCGTCTTCTATGCAACAGAATTTTGAGGCTAGGAATCACAGGGCACACCTCCCCACACAGAGATGGGTGCATTACACAAAAAGAAACCCAAGGTGAAAAGTTTAAACATACTTCTTAACTTGTGTTCAGATACTGTTGCATCACTTTCCTTTTGAGTAGTACACCACTGATGTCCTGTTCATTGTCTAGGATTCAGGGAACTACAGATTAATTTCAGTATCTCCTGCTATTATTGTCCCAAAAATCAGTAAACTGAGTGCCTCAAGTTAAATAAACTTAGCTTTCCTCAGCTTAAAATGCTTTTATGTCACATTCTTACAAAGACACTGAATGGAATAGCAAAATATCTCATGAGGGTGATCGAGACTCAGACTTATCAGTGAAGAATCGCTTGTCTATTCAGTCATTTAAGACAAGATGCACAGCCCAATTTTTCTGAAGCATGTGATTCACCAAAGTATAGTACATGCCCACTGACGATACCATGGGATGTCATTTCACTCGTAGCAATAACAACGCAACTACAGCTCCTGAGTGGAACTGGCTACACCATGCAACAAGGCTACGATGTTAGAAATTTATAAAACGTTAGAATCCATACAGCTCACAGGAGTTGCAAAATTACACAGGTACTACAACATCACCAATATCAACAGCAACCTTAAATTAGCATCTAGACATATAATTTCTGACATACTTAAAAAGTTATATTCTGATACTTGGCATGAATTTGTGATGTCAAAAACAAGGCTTAAAAAACCCCAAACCAAGCTGTACTTACAATTTCAAACACAGAGACTTAGTACAATTGCAAGGCTTCCTGGGGCGGTTTGCAGATTCAGAAGGAATTATTCTGTGGGGGAAAAAGTGCATTTATATACAAGCACACTGTTTTATCAGTTTCTTCCTAGTTTAAATTCAAGTAAATAGCTTATAACAAAAACTTTGAAAAAATCTTTATATTCCCCTTGTATTAGGTTTTTGGCTGCCTGTGTTTAAGTAACTGTTATATAGAGTGCCTTTATATAGTGCTTTTCCAACCCAGAAAGAGCTGGGTTATTTGCTGCAAATCTGGCTGCATGCCTAAAGCAGAAATGAGACTTAAAGCTAGAGGAAGTATCATAACTGAAAATGGGAATCAGGGAAAACTTCCCCAGAACCTCTCTACATGCAAGGGAACTAGATCCAACCAAGGTTCACAAAATATGATTGTGCCTTTCCTTTTATTCTAGCTGGAATTACTAAAAAACAAAACAAAACCAAAAACATAAACCAGCTCTGGAATAAAAGGAAAGCAAGCCAAAACATGGTATTCAATTCATAGATAAATTTTAAATCGGATACAGTCTTTAGCTGCTCTTAAAACTTGGATTTTGTGTCATTAATCGCTTTTGATGAGATTTGTTCCATCCCTATCTAGCAACTTCTGCACATAATACCAGGGAGATTAAATCAAACTCATTCATTTGAATAGTTGCATCTGGATTTGGGATTAGTTTGCAGCAACAAAAAGCACCTTGGTGTTCACAATTTGCAGCAAACAATAACACAAAGGGACTGTGCAAAACAGCTAAGCCTGCTGGACTGGCAAAGGGAAAAATAATACGTTGGCCGTTATTTTCATCCTTAAAGGAAAGTCTGAAAGAACCCCAAAGCCTCATATCAGGATCCGTTTCGGGCTTCAGTACCATTTTGCTGTTCAGCTGGATTTCTGCATGTACTAAGCATCTAGCTCTGATATCGCCCAGCACCTCTTTCCACCAGCATCAAGAGCTGAGGCCTGTAGGTCCGAGGTGCTGATGCAAAACGAAGAATGAGCAACAGGGAGCTTTCAGGTCAACTTCCTGCTACATAATATCAAAAGACAGAAAGGAAAACACAGCTTTGATCAGGAGACTGACTCAACTGTCAGAAAGATCCATGCCCTTTAGCCAGAGGCAATAACCACACCACATTATACTTGATTTTCTTGGAAAATGGCCCAAACCAAAATCCAACGTCTCTACTCCCACCCTTCCTTATAACGAGACTGAAAGAAGATGCTCGTTCAGTAGCCTACATTGCAGGTTTTTCTTTCGCAAAGCACTCACCCGTTGAATGGCAGCCGTGCCTGGGACTGGATACTAGATGTCCCTGTAAAGCCAGTGTTGCTTGCTATGGATACATAGGATGACTGTTGTAGCTAATAAAACAAAAAGGTTAATGCGTAACGTAAAAGAAATTAAAGCACACACATGAGAACATAAAGCTAGTCTTTTAATTAGCTTTCCAGATATTGTTATAAAAATATGCTTGTAAGCAGTTTTAGACATTTGTAGAACTTGGACCAGGTAGCAACCTCCTGCCTCTGTACCTAGCATTATTTTAGATAATATTTTTGTTCTCTATTAGAGTGTCTATAGCCATACACATAAACACAGAAATGTTCAGATCACAAACAGTTCCAGCTCCTAAAAACATGCTAATTTTCCCCCTTCTTTTCCTAAGTAACCCTGCCCCTAAGAGAGCAGGATCACTTACTGCAGAAATTACTTTAGTAGCTTCCTTAATATACAAGCCCCTTATTACGGAATTACATAAAAGCAAGTGAAATTATTTACATTTCACCTTCTCTGCACACCTGGACCCAGAGTTTGTTTTTCACATTAAAAAAACAAAATCTCATAAGAACTTTCACTGGCAAGTGCTCTAGCCACGCTGCCCAAGTCACAGAAGGCAAAAGCAGGGACTGGGAGAATGAAGAACCACCCACTGTAGCAGAAGATCTAAAGAATCTAGAGAGAGACCATCTAAAGAACCTGAAGGTGGACAAGTCCATGGGACCTGATGGGATGCATCCGCGGGTCCTGAGGGAACTGGCGGATAAAGTTGCTAAGCCACTATCCATCATATTTGAGAAGTTGTGGCAGTCCGGTGAAATTCCCACCGACTGGAAAAGGGGAAACATAGCCCCCTCTTTAAAAAGGGAAAAAAACAAGACCCCAGGAACTACAGGCCAGTCAGCCTCCTCTCTGTGCCTGGCAAGATCATGGAGCAGATCCTACTGGAAACTATACTTAAGGTATATGGAAGATAAGGAGGTGACTGGTGACAGACAACATGGCTTCACTAAGGGCAAATCGTGCTTGACAAACCTGGTGGCCTTCTACAATGGGGTTACAGCACTGATGGGTAAAGGAAGAGCAACTGACATTATCTACCTGGACTTGTGCAAAGCATTTGACACTGTCCTGCATGACATCCTTGTCTCTGAATTGGAGAGACATGGATTTGATCAATGGACCCCTCAGTGGATAAGGAATTGGCTGGATGGTTGCACTCAAAGAGTTGCGGTCAACAGCTCAATGTCCAAGTGGAGATCAGTGACAACTGGCGTTCCTCAGGGGTCGGTATTGGGTCCGTTGCTATTTAACATCTTTGTCGGCGACATGGATAGTGGGATCGAGTGCACCCTCAGCAAGTTTGCTGATGACACCAACCTGTGTGGTGTTTTGGACATGCTGGAGGGAAGGGATGCCATCCAGAGGGACCTTGAGAGGCTGGAGAGGTGAGCCTGTGAGAACCTCATGAAGTTCAACAAGGCCAAGTGCAAGGTCCTGCACGTGGGTCGAGGCGATCCCAAGCACAAGTACAGGCTGGGCAGAGAATGGATTGAAAGCAGCCCTGAGGAGAAGGACTTGAGAGTCTTGGTTGGTGAGAAGCTCAACTTGAGCTGGCAATGTGCGCTGGCAGCCCAGAAAGCCAACCGTATCCTGGGCTGTATCAAAAGAAGCATGGCCAGCAGGCCAGGAGGGGATTCTGCCCCTCTACTCTGCTCTCATGAGCCCCCACCTGGAATACTGTGTTCAGCTCTGGAGTCCCTAACATAACAAGGACATGGAGCTGCTGGAGTGAGTCCACAGGAGGGCCACAAAGATGATCCAAGGATTGGAGCACCTCTGCTATGAAGACAGGCTGAGAGAGTTGGGGCTGTTCAGCCTGGAGAAAAGAAGGCTCCAGGGAGACCTTCTAGCAGCCTTCCATTACCTAAAGGGGGCCTACAAGAAAGCTGAAGAGGAACTTTTTACACAGCCATGTAGTGATAAGACAAGGGGCAATGGCTTTAAACTGAAAGAGGGGAGATTTAGATTAGATCTAAGGAAGAAATTCTGCATTCTGAGGGTGGTGAGGCACTGGAACAGGTTTCCCAGAGATCCTTGGAAGCGTTCAAGGCCAGGTTGGATGAGGCTTTGAGCAACCTGACCTAGTAGAAGGTGTCCCTGCCCATGGCAGGAGGGTTGGAACTAGAGGATCTTTAAGGTCCCTTCCAACCCAAACCATCCTATGACACTGTTTTGGGCTACCTTCTCTTGTATTATCTACATGCAGCCATCTTCTCCTGCTGGGACAGGTTCTGAAGACAGATTGTCACATAACAAGATATGGATCTACTGGGGTCAGGCCAAAGGGGAGAGATTCTGTAGAGAATACAAAACCTCTGAGGAGAGGTCCAACAAATGGTATTTTTTAGTTTAAGGTAAGATTTGTGGAAGTAGACTGGAAGAACACAAGAAGAGTCTTCAAGGTCAAACTGCAACTGTGACAAAACCAGAAGGGAACCAGAAATGAGGTTGGTATCAGTAATGCTGACAGAGTCCTTGTTTGTACAGACTGGCTAGATAGCCTTCAGCAGAAAGTTTAATTTATTCTCATTTTCATTCTGACTGTTGGTCAGATCTTGGCAAATAGTAAAAAACTGATCCGTAGACCTGAGTTGATGTGACTGGCACCCCTTGCTCCTGACCCCGGTAATGTGGCTAGCAAAACTAATACCATTTCATAATGCGAACAGCGATTCTCTGTGACTGAGTGGGCCATATTTTCGTTCCTTTCCCCCCTGTTATCAGGCCCTGAGGGTCCTGTGAATCAAGCAGGCAAACCAAACAGATCTCTTCCCCTCACTACTGGCCTCAAGATTCCTGGGCAAATGACTCCCTTCCTTACAGGCTGTGAAGGTCTCAGGTGGTGCTGATGACCTGTCACAGAATAGGGAAGCAAAACAGCACACAGAGCACTGTCTATAAAATCAAGCAGTTGTAAGTCCTAAGTGAGGGATTTGGACTGGAACTGCTGCTGGACACCTGTGACACCCCAGTGGCTAGGTACACCTCCAACGACATATGCTTTCTCCGAGGATTGAGTGAGTGACTTGTATTCTCTTATATGATTTTGAGTCTAGATTATGATTGTTATATTGATAAAGCAAATTATGTATTGAGATCTGTCCCGATCTGCAGAGGGTCTAGATGATTAGAAAGTATAAGTCAAGTTGTATTATAAATTCTGTACTACACTACTTATAAAATTGTCCTACTCTGATTCTGCTTATAGAAATCTTGTGCTATTCTGATTATAAAGTCTATGCTATGCTAATAAAAAAATCCTGTTAAGAAAATAAAAAGTTTTAATTATTACTACAATTTAGTGCCGTTGTCATTCTGCCTATGATCCCTAAAAGAAACTGTCTGTTCCCTTAGTCTCAAGTGACAGCTGGGGAGCAAGAACCTTTAAGAGGAAGGTAGTATGTTCCACAACAGCACTATTTCCTTATTTATCTCTAGGTTAACATCATACCTGGGTGACATACTGAGCAGGAAGGACTGCATATCCGACATTTCCTGTGCCAGGTGCTGGTGCCAGTACAGTGCCCGGTGGGAGGTTGGTGAGGTTGGGCTGTATTTGTGGCAGTGGAGTGGCTGGCATAATAAGTCTTTGTTGGGGCTGACTAGTAGTAACTATCTGGGAAGTTGGGTTGATTGGTTTGGGCACCACCTGGAGTGAAAAGAGGTCTTTATGAAATCATTGTTTTGTTCATTCAGAACGCACTTTTATTAATAGAACATTTCATCACAGTGCTGAAACCAGACTCTTTTTTTCCATCCAGCCAAAATAAGTCAGGAATACACCTTTTACATTTAGCTCACCTGTTTCACAGTCTGTGCTGGCACTATGGGAACAGACATCCGCACTGGGGTTGCATTCACCACCACTGGCTTTGCTAGTATCAGGAAACAACATCACAGTAACACACGTTATTCACTTCAGTCCACAGTTCAGTCCTCCGGACTTATACGCACATAATGCAAAGGTACTTAATACTGTAACAACGTGCTGAGATTAACTGACCGAACTCACGCCAAATAACACTTATGTCTGAAGAACACCTTTGTAAACAGGTATTTGGCACAAGGGTGAGTGCACACATTTCACAGCAACGGCTTAAAAAACAGCTTGGGTGCAGAGCTCCTCTGGACACTGGATTTCCCTTGGCAAGAGGAGAACACAAAACCACAGCTTGGTTTGAAATATTTTATTCTATCACAGCTCCAGAAAGCATAGACAGAAACCAGCAGAAACATCTGGTGCTTCTAAAGCATTTTACACAGAAGTATCTTCATGTTGCAGGAGTTTTGGCAATACGTTTGTGGCTTCACACTTTTCATAGAGAGGATCTGGACTTGCCACAAGTCACCCAAAAAGCTGGTAAACTAGGGAAAAGTAACGTAAAATACTCCGAGGATTCAGGCCCAACTACAGAGCAGTTTGACATAGAGGAGCATTTCCACATACAAAGCAGAGGTAATACAATATTAAATTTGTAGAAGTCTAACACAAAACCAGATACACCTGCCAGTCTTGATAGATCTCCATTATGTACTCATTTTAATCCCTAGAAAACACACAACAACAACAAAAAAAAAACAAACAAGAAAAACTTACTTCAGATAATACATTACCAGCAGCACTTACCCTGTTGAAGAGGCTGTGTATTCGTACTGGGATTTTGACTGGCCGATTGGGTCGAACTACTGGCTGTTGTAGCAGTAACAAGTCTGACATAATGGAACTTGCTTCCAGGCACCTGAATCTGCTGAACATTGGGTGCAGTTGCCAAAGGAATAATTGTCTTAAATTGAGATGTACCCACTCCTCCTACAGTAATGGTCTGCACTGCTGATTTCACAGCCTGTTAAGCCAACACAGACAGTACAAAGTTACTTGTACAAAGGCAGAAACAACATCAGCGTGTCTATTCCTCAATTTGTTAGCGAGCAATTCTTTAATCCATCCGTATCATAGAATCATAGAATTTCTAGGTTGGAAAAGACCTTAGAGATCATCCAGTCCAACCGTCCCTAATCCCCATTAAACCATATCCCTAAGTAGTTCATCCACCCTTTTCCTAAACACATCCAGGGATGGGGACTCAACCACCTCCCTGGGCAGCCTATTCCAGTGGCTGACAACCCTTTCAGAGAAGAAATTCTTTCTAACATCCAACCTGAATCTCCCCTGACTAAGCTTATACCTATTTCCTCTTGTCCTATTACCCATCACTAATGTAAAGAGCCCTTCCCCCACCTCCCCACCATCCCTTCTCAAGTATTTGTAGGCCGTAATCAGGTCTCCCCTCAGCCTCCT